TGTCACGAATCCGGTCCATGAACTTCCAATTTCATTGACTCTCGCACTACACACTGTTGCACATCACCCCGGACTACATTTCCCATCATGCATTGCACTGATTGCACTCAGCACGGATTGCACACAGCTGTTAACACTGATTGCACCCAGCTGTTTCATATCACTCCCTCACTATATAACACTCACTCTGATCCCTTCCCTCTGCCGAGTATTGTTTCAGCGATTATCACTCCCCTAGTGATAGCTACACTACAGAGCCCTCAGTCGTTTCCTAGCCTTAGCCTTAGCCTGTTTTCTCCGGTTTTTGATCTTCGCCTGGTTTCCTGGATTTCTCCTTTTGTCTTGCCCCTTTTTGATTCTGTCTGCCGATCGTCGACCTGCGCTAGCCCTAGGACTATTCTTGTGTTTTTGCCCACCATATACCTGTCTGCCATTATCTGACCCATGCCTGCTTTATGACCACGTCTCTGTCTTCTCCTAAATAAAAGCTTTGCGAATGGATCCGCAAGTCTCACGTCTCGTCAGCCCCGTAACAGTGTGACATTTGAGCAGATTTAGACTTATTCACTTTTATTTGTAAATAAAAAAGGTTTCACTAGATTTTTTTTTAATATTGTGCACCCGTGATTTTTCTAGAGTATCTTTTGCTGCTGAATTATCCAGTAACCTAGTTTATAATGGTAGTTTTGTCATAGATTATGATTGTATGTTTTCATTTATTTTTCATTAAAATGAAGTTGTCTATATGTAGTAGATTGTGTTTAACCACACAAAAGAGTGAAGATCAGGTCAACACAGAGAAGTATAGAAATTCTACATTGATTAAAAAAAAACTTCGCTGGTATCGGATTGGATCGGTATCGGCAGATACTCAGAATTTTCAGTATCGGATTAGTTCTGATAAAAATGGTATCGTTGCATCCCTAATTAAAATCACCCATAATAAAAACAGCACACATTAGGAGTGTGCTGCAGCTGACGATGGCCACAGTCAACAATGAGGGAATCAGCTCTCGCTGCATTCCCACTTGGTGGGACATACACCGCACAAATAATGACATTCCCAAACTCCCTAGGGAAATAAAATGGTCGACATCTGCATTACAAACTCTCTCTCAGTGTATATTGTGTGCACTATCAGTTACTCACATACATGCATAATCCGCCTCATCGGATTTTTTTCGGATTATTCTGTCCTGTCAGCGCGGATGAGGGAACCCCCCCCCCCCCATTTCAACCGCCGAATCGGGAATGTCTTTGTTGAGCCAAGTTTCTGTGAACACCATTACACTAGAATCCCGATATTCAAAGCAGCCTCTGATGTTAGTCTGAAGCTCTACCATTTTATTCCGAAGTGACCTGGCGTTACACAGTATCATGGAGGGTAGAGGTGGCCGATTCATCCTCCGTCGGAGTCGCTGTCCTACCCCCCCCAACACCTCGTCTGCCTCCATTATTCAATCATCTCATCTACGCAGATATACAAAACACAAAACATCGTTCATTATTGCTTTAATCTTTTCTAGCGATTTGTGTAGTCCAGTGGCATCGATTTAATGACCCAAATACTCAAGACTGTTTGAAAATTTAAATTTTTTCATGTTGCAATTTCAGACCATATTTTTCCAGTCTAGTGTCTTGAGGTGCTCCACATCATCTTGTCCTGTTATCAGTATGTCATATTGATAGCAGTGAGTGATTGGAATCCCCAAGATATCAGAATTTACCAGATAATGGTGGGGCATTACTGTTAACCACATACATTGGCAATCGTGCAGACTGATTTATTTAATTTTACTGCTACGTTGATGACCCCTACTGGTGCTAGTGCTTCTCCAGTGTAGGTTTTTAAGATGTCGGTCAGATGCAGTGGAATATGCTGCAAGTCATTACCATAGTTTTCATTTGAAATTAAGGACACTGCAGTGTTACTGAAGGAGCATTTTAAACTGATGTGCTCTACACTCTTACTTTTGTGTCGACACTCTTTTAATATAGTGATATAATGATTTACAAAGAGACAACACTTCTTGATTTCTTGTTGATTATGGCAAATCTGCTTCTTCCACACAGAAATTCAGCTGGAATATCCCCATCCGTTTATCAGTGCAGACGAGCATCAAAGCATGAGGAAGAAACCTGTAAAGACTGAGTTTATTAAAGAGGGCAGAGAGAAGATGAGAGATCCAGAACCCTGCAGAATCAAACACACTGAAGATACTGAAGAACTAACAGGTTGGTGTATATTCTTCATTCTTCACTAATAAAGCTGACGCTTATACAGTTTCAAGTAGTTTTATATTTTGGGCCCGAGCACCGATGGTGTGAGGACCCTATTGGAATTGCTCCATTTCTTATTATTATTCTTCCGCTTCTTCTTCTCCGAAGGGAATCACATTTTTAAGGGACTAAACATGCTCCAAAACTCATGAAACTTTGCACACACATCAGAATTGGCGAAAATGTACATCTGATATGGGTTTCAGAATTAGTTGTGCAACACACCATTACCTTCAAAAAAGTCTCCTGGTTCAAAATCCGAAACCCAACAAGAAGTCCATTATTTTTGGGCAGTTTTTGTCATTTTAAGGCCTCGTACTTTAACAAACTCCTCCTACAGTTTTAATCGGATCATCTTCAAATTTGCTGAGTGTAATCATAAGGCCTTTGCGATGCGAAATTGCAAAGATCTTGAGTTTTCGTCAAAGGGCGTGTCCCGGGCGGCCTGACAACGTTTGATGTT